GCGGGCTGTTTCAACGGCATTACGTATGGAGTGCGTAGATAATGTAGACGAGAGCTTCGTGCGGCGAGCGCGGGTGACAGGAGGTTGGGGATGAAGAGAAGATAGGGCTTTTCCGCCCGTAATACGATCAAGCGGGAGAAGGGTGGCCGTGGAAAACGGCGAAAGGGTCGCTCGCTGGCTGGTAACATCTTGCGCTGATGTCTCCCGATACACCATAAATTATTATATTCATATTATGTATCCCGTACCGATGCTCTCGCGCCACCCCTGTCGCGATTCCATCCCGGCAAGGACGGGCTGGGTGGCGTCGCGTGTTTCGTTTTTGCGAGAGGATTTATCGCCCGCGGCTCGCACTCGATGGAACTGATCGCGACTACGTGACTACGACTCGGCCATCGCCATTATGTGCATCCACGCGACGGGACCGGCGTACAAAATGACGTACTTTTTGCATAGCAGCTCGTGTTTCGTCTGTGGAGGATAATTAGGGACACATCGATCGTCGTTAATCCCGTTCACCGAAAGAGTGCGTTAGATTTATCGTCAGTATTGGCGATTAATTCATTCTTTAAATTCCTTGATATATATTTTCTATCACTGTTTATTAATAGAAAATTGATAAATAAAAAAATTGAGATAAATAAAGAATTTTTAATAACTACAATTTAATTTATTAAAGTGTAAATGTGTACAAATATTTTAGCCTCTAGAACATCTAGAAGAACAATGAAATTACATTGAGTTTTATCGTGCAAATTTATTTCCCCAATTCGCAGTTGGAGTCAATGCAACTACGATAAAAGATCGATCGACTCATTCCTTCCTTCCTTCTACGCGCGTCGACGTGAATTCACCTCTGTCGGCGACCACATAACCGGGTTTATCTTATCATGCAAACGATACCTTATAGACGCGACCGAGGAAGGAAAAAGGATCTTCGTCGGATCGTCACGGATTCCGTGGAGGCGACGAATCCGTGACGGGGTATGATTTCTCGATATCGTGCATGTCAGCGTCGGGATTTCTCAGTTTTCTCCGTTTGCTCGTCTCCATTTTGCCCGACACTTTTGCACCATCGTCGTCGTCATCGTCGTGGTTTCCTTCGGCATTCTCAAAACGCGACGAGCTTTCCCGACCCTCATCATCATTCTGACATCAATGCTCCGGTTCGTCTAGCATTTCGCTTATATATATATATATATATATATATATATATATATGTGTGTGTGTGTGTGTGTGTGTGTGTGTGTGTGTGTGTGTGTGTGTGTGTGTGTATGTGTGCACCTACGCGACTCCGATTGAACATAAATGCTCGCGGAGCCTTTTATATCCCTGTTGTATTGAATGACAGTTAATATTTTGATCTGAGATACATGTCAAAGACGTATCTCGCGATTACCATTACGGAAACAGAATTAAAAGACTCTTAAGTTAATCCCGAGCGAAACGGAAAGACGCGAGATGCATTAGCGTCTTATTAGATCTACGTCCACGCCGTACGTCCAATGATAAATTTAATTTTCGCCTCAATTTTTGCTCGACATTTCGCAATAAATGAAATAATCTTAAATCGGACAAATTCGGAACTGAGCACAAAATTACATTTAAAATTAAATGTACTGTTATATTAAGAGAGTATTATAAGGTTCTACAAAAACCACACAATTAATCTTAATATGAGCCGTTTATTTTGAAAGTGGCCTAAGTCCATTTGTCAATTATTTTTTATTATTTTTTTATTATTTTTAATTTTGAAACGCAAACCCTTAAATGTCTCAATTTAAATATAAATGGACTTAGGTCACTTTCAAAATAAACGGCTCATATGTCTTGAGCGTTTTCTCCTTCATTGCCATAGCTACTCGTATATAGTATAACTTTTGTTTGAAACTTTTGTTAAAAATTTTCCTCCAAGTTTCGGAAATAATTAATAATAATTGTTAATAGTTACCAAAGTACTTTATATACCTACAGATGTATCACCAAATCGAGCGAGAATGATAAAGATCAATCTCTGTCGGAAAATCTCAGAGAAGGTGTGGAGGTGGCTGTTGAAGGCTCTGGGGTATTTTTCTTCTTGAAATTGCCTGACCTTATTCGTAAACACGCGCATCCGTTGATTAATAGCCCCGACCCACGGTCGTGTATTCGTAATCGTTTACGTCGCCTACGTCTTATCGCCAGTGATCGTGTAAACGTACAAAAGCGGAAACTTCTGAAAGTCGAGTCGTTCATCGAGGCCCAGGCCTCCTCGCCTGGGATATCGATGTGTAAGCTCGGCTTCGCGCTTTCTCGCGTTCGCGCGAGAAATTCGTCGGCGATCGATCAACGTCGTGCCGGATAGAAAATGGACCCGCGTGCCCCGTGACGAAGTTAATAGCGCCTCGTCCCGACGAAGAAATCGCCGAAAAACGAGCCGGTCGAGGGCGAAAACGCGAAAACACTCATTAACGTCCGCGCGCAGTATTTACCGTGCTCGAGCGCTAAAAGAGCAGCAAACACCTTCCCGGTCGCCTGCAAAACGTGCAAAACGCGTCGCTTCCCTTCGACAAGTTTTCTTCGTCTTCGACACAATTTGCTGCAACGTGACTATCCACGCGAAAGAAACGCTGAGAAATGTATTCCGAACGAAGCGATGAAGGAGAAGACGGGGAGGGAGAAGAGAGCACTTTGATTTGCAAGAACATCGCGTTCGAGAATAAGAGGAGAACAAGAGGAGTTACGCGATAACATTTGTTATATGAATAACTATGAATCGTAATTACGAAAGTTATTCGTCGAGAAAGTTGTTTACCAATTTATCTTGAGAAATACATTCTAACGTCGCTATTGTCTCTTCGATCGATCGCTTGTGGACCATAAACGAGTAACGCTTCGATCAAATTTTCACGAAGAAAATATTATTGCGAACTAGGCCATCGAACGTATATGTTGAAACGTTTATATACATTCTACATCCTGTTAATTGCAGCGCTTTCATCGTTTATGCCTTCGAAAATATGTCCTCGAAACATCAACACAGCAACCGGATCCTTTCATATTAGCTCAATGTCGTTCTCCTCGTTGGAAAGTTCGCCAACTAGCAAGGGGAAAATACTGGCGGCAGGGCACGTCAGAGAAGGGGTCGGAAAATTAGGCAGTCTTTGCAAGGGTCGCGACGCATTCTCAAAGGAAGGATACGGAGCAATAAGGTATCGCGGGTAGGAGAAACACATCTGATAATCCTCTCCCGGCGAGAGGAGACTGTCGCATAATCTCTCGTCCGTGCGTTTTGCCCTCCCCCCGCTTCCCCCCTAACCCCCTTCATCTTCACGGAAAGTCGCTCTGTTTACCATTCCGAGGATGTCTTTAATATATAACAGGCAATTTTCCCACGCTTGCTACGCCGTAAACTTCTTCGAGAAATTGGATGTGCCGGAGTCGAGGAAAGCGCGACTAAAGGCGACGAAAGAGAAAGACACTCGAGGGGAAACGAGAGAAACAGAGAGGGAAAGAGAATGGAGAGGTCCTTTATTCTAAGAAACAAGAGTCGCGATTCAGTTGCCAGGACCCGGTTAGTTCCCGCATAATCCGCGGTTCTCCGATGCACCGTCGATTTCGTATACACGTCCATTTTTCGGAGGGGATGATGCGCGCGCGGGGGACGGCGGGGGAAGTCGTTTTAATATCTGACCTCGTTGCAACCGACGTCGTGAGACGAAAACTTTCTCGCGGCCTCTCCCCTCCTCCTTTCCACCCTTCCTCTCTCGTTAGTACCCTGTCCCCTGGTTACCGTCGAGCGAATCCTCCGTCCCGCCCTCATTTCCGTCGCATTTTGCGGTAAATACGCCAAGAAAATGCATGGCGCATCGTTAGCCTTCGTCGTGTCGGCGAGTCAGGTTCGTCGGTTAAGTCGCTGGCAACTCCCGACTTGTCTCCTTGTTGGCCCAATTTACCGCAGCGGTTTCTAGCGAAGAATTATAAGCTGTCCTCTATCATTTTCCCGAATATAGTGGAACGTCCTGGAAAAGTTCGCCGGAAACGTTCGAAAGTTTTGCCAAATCAATTTAGAATTAATTGCTAACTCTTTGTGTAAGTCTCGAATGCATCGGGATGCATTCGAGAAAAGAATGGCACGGATGGCTTATTACATCGAGAGAGTTGCAATTTAATAATAATAACGATCTCTTTAATCCTGAATTTTCAACTTTTGAACGTTTCATTTAAAGTTTAAGCACTTAATAAAAAGAGACAGATAATTATTAGCGTCGTTTTTAAATAAGATAATATTCAACGCGGTACTAGTACTATATTGATATATTAAATATTACTATCGTCAAGTTTGATTACCCTTTAATTATGCATAGCCTCATTTGCTTAAATTATTTATCTCTTCTAAGAAGTGGGACATTTTAATTTGTGTTCTTAAAATTGAAATTTATATTTTAGCGTAAAGCCATAATTATCTCGCTTAAGTATTATTTAATACACGTCGTTATGACATTTATCTTGCTTATATTTTGCAGTTGAAAATCATTGCGGAGGATGCGCAAAACGTTAGTTTATACAAGGTGGGCGGTACTACTGCGAAGGGTTAATACTCTGGAACGCAGGTGTGCGTGAAACATACCGTCGTGCGTTTAATTTCTCTGCGTAGTACCGCAGTAAAATAGCTAGACTGCAACAGATTATTATACACGAGTCGTGAACTGTTGCGAATATTTCTCGTACGCAAATTTAACAATAATAATCTCCGAAGAAATAAAGCTCACATATATAAAGAAATTATAATTACCGGGAGTGAACAAATTTGATTTGAAGTGGCGAACAAACCATTGTCACATAAAACTGTAAATTTTGTACTCCTAGTTTTCTGCACACAAGTGATAAAACTATAATCTGCTCGGTGACAATTTTATGACAATGCGTAAAAATCAATTCTTTATTTCCCCGAATTCTTTATAATATTAAAATTTGCAAAATCATTTATCAAATTGATCTGTCAGGAAATAAAAAAATGAAGTCAACAGCACATGGTGTTCCCAAGTGGTCTCCCATCTAAGTACTAACCGTGCTCAACGTTGCTTGACTACGGTGATCGGACGAGAACCGGTACTTTACAACGTGATTTGACCGTTGACGATATTTTCTATAATGAATAAAAGTTATATATCGTTTCAAATTTCCATAAAACGTAATAATTGTCCATAAATGCTATTAATAATTATTAAATAAATGCCGTGTAATTTGTAATTCATTATTACAGTCAGATTGTATTACGTTTTAATTACAATTGTAATAATTTCTTTTCTAAAATTTAATTGCAAAGTATTTTGTTTATTAGGACAATAAATGTTAATTATAAAAATCTATACTAAAACCGGATTTAAAATATTTAAAAGGATGTAACATGTCTTATCAACAATTAGATAATGCGCTTTATGAGATCTGATGTTTATTAAAAAAAGAATTAAATAGAAATTATTCAGAAAAATACATAAATAATAAAAATAATTTTTTGTAATATTGGAAAAGTATAACATTCAATTGGTTAATTGATCTGTTAGAAAAATACAAAAAAAGGGTCAACAGCACACGGTGTTCCCAAGCAGTCTCCTATCTAAGTACTAACCGTGCTCAACGTTGCTTGACTACGGTGATCGGACGAGAACCGGTACTTTACAACGTGATTTGACCGTTGACGGTATTTTCTATAATGAATAAAAGTTATATATCTTTTTAAATTTCTATGAAAGGTAATAATCGACCAGAAGTACTACAAGTAATTATTAAATAAATGCCGTGTAATATGTAATTCGTTATTATAATCAGATTGTATTACGTTTAAATTACAATTGTAATAATTTCTTTTCTAAAATTTAAGTACAAAGTATTTTGTTTATTAGAATAATAAATGTTAATTATAAAAACCTATACTAAAACCAAATTTAAAATCCTTAAAACGACATAATATATCTTATCAATAATTAGGTATTGTACTTCATGAGATCTGATTTTTATGAAAAAATAATCAAATAAAAATTATTCAGAAAAATACATAAATAATAAAAATAATTTTTTGTAATATGGCAAAAGTATAATACTCGATTGATTGATTGATCTATTAAAAAAATACAAAAAAAGTGTCAACAACACACGGTGTTCCCAAGCAGTCTCCCATCTAAGTACTAACCATGCTCAACGTTGCTTGACTACGGTGATCGGACGAGAACCGGTACTTTACAACGTGATTTGATCGTTGACAAATAAACGTGTTTTCTATTACATGATAACGAATAAAATACCATATCTTTTTAAATGTCTATAATAATAAGAAAATCTTGTATAATGTATAATTTGCTATTACAAATAGATTGCATAATATTGTTTTAATTGCAATTATAACTTCTTATCGGAACTCTCTCCAAATCTTTCTTATTCATTATAGTTATATTATATCTGGTGCTCTCATTTATTCTCTTCATACTTTACTCCCATTATTCCCCTCCTTATCATCGACGTACTTCGACACGTCGTGGCTAAATTTCAGCGTACTTGCGAGGAGGATTTCATCTACGCAGACAATGCAGGTTATATCGTAGCCAAGTGAAGGACTTCGTTGACATAGTTCGCGTGCCAGCCGCACTTGGGCCGTCGATCTTCCTCCTTTCTTGCAGATACCTGTGTCTCTAAGCAGGCTGACATGCCGTAGCCTCATTAGGGGACTCTTAGGAACGCGCGCGCGAGAGACAACCGTCAGGCAGTCTTCTCGTCGTGTCGCCGGAAATATCGAGAGATGCGCCCTTGGGATTTAGCGCAGCTGTTCGTACCATCAACGAGTCCCGAGATTATCGCAGATAATGCCGGCCCCACCGAACCTGAGAAAATACACATAATGGGACGAATGTCGCGTGCCGGCCATCAGGTCCTTTCGTAGAATCTTTGTTTCACGATTAATAAATCTCAAAAATTGTGTTATTGCATTTTTAAAGAATGCAAGCAAGAATAATTTACTCTCTCTTTTTCTTTTTATATTAAGTTTTAAATGCATAACTTTTATTTTAATGTCATATCGAATTATGTAGTCAATATCGTTAAATTTTGGAAACTAAATTTTCGATAGTTTTTTTTTCATAGTATTTTACATATTTCAAAATTATTTAATATATCTATATATAAAGAAAACTACATTTAGCAGATAAAATATAAAAAATATAATTTTAATATATAGATAGTATAGATAAAAAGGTGCACTAGATGATTGCAAGATTACATTAAATTCTTTAAATAGAGTCATATAAATTTCTTTACAAATGTGTGTGTATAAACTTTTTATCATTTATATTTAATAATTATATTTATATTTAATTTATACAAAAGTAGAACATCTCATAAAAAAAATCAGTTATGCGATATTTTATAATTTATTTTAAAATATTATGATAAAATATAAATGTAATGTGTTTACTCTTTCATTAAAATATTCGCTAAATTTTGAATAAAATGAAATTAATAATCCTATCTTCATGCAAATTCAATGTTGCATTTGCAACATGCGATTCCTTTTTTATTTTAATGCAATTATATAATTTCATCATCAATCAATAAATTCATTTTCTTCTATATATGAAAATATTATAATAAAGTAAATACTTTATAATAATACTTTAAATACAAAATATTTCATATATTTTTTGTTAGAATATATAAAATAAAATTTAGATATTTTGTTTAATTACTGATTTTTTAATAATTTTACTTCAATATTCATTCGAATAAATAATTTTTAATCTATATAAAAGAAAAAACTATCCTAAAAAATCCCATTTGAAAAAAACATTTACTTTGATGCCATTTTGATGTTTCTAATAATTTAAATATTTTATTCTTTTCAAATCATTATAACTCTGTTCAAATCTCATAAATATAAATTATTATTCCGATATCTCACAGATACTGTGCGCATCGTTCTGAATAAGGAATGTTACTCGATTTTATCGCCGTTATTCGCTTCGCTTCCTTGATATAGCGGATCAATAATAAATATAGAGCAATCTTTCTAATGTATTGCTGCGGAAGCTTTCTCGCGATCCCGAAGATGGCTATTTGCGATGTACGGCGAAGTGATCGCACTCTCGTAAATTTTATTCAATCGGCGATGCAGGGACGAAGAAAGATGCGGCCCGTTTTGTTTTCGCGAGATTTTGGGGGAGGAGTAAAAGCATGTGGAGGGATCGATTTGTAGCGTTGCATCGAGCTGTCGATGGTCAATTCGGGCGTGGATAAATAAACATCTTCTCTCGGAGAGAAGAGAGCAAACTGCGGCAAGCTTGCCACTATTCAGACGTTCATCCACTCCTCTATTCTTCGAGTGATTTTTCTAAAATACTGGCTATTCATCATATTCGGAACTTTAAACATTAAATCTTTTACTCGCAGTTATTTTAATTCTTTCAATTTCATCTAAACGAGGATATTAATTAAATTAGAATAGATCTCAAGACAAAACAATATATTTGTACATATATTGTATAAAAGTTTCCAAAACTAAAATCTTATTTCGGTCTTGAATGAATTTTTTTAGTGAAAATACGCTTTTACGGAATTTTATGTAGCTAAATAATTGCAAAATTTTAGATTGTTTGTTTTGTTTAATGTATTTTCTCAAATTTATATTAAATATTTTTATTTATTAAATAAAAGTTCTTAAGTTCATATATAATATAATAATTTTTTTCTAATTTACAAATATTTTAACTTTATTTAAAAATCAATAATCTTGACAATCTTAATCATAGTATTGATAAAATGGTCTTGATAACTAATTAAAAATGTCTTGATTCTATCTCGAATTTTGAGATGAGACAATATCAAGACTAGCTTGGTATCTGTAATCCTAAATTAGATAGTTTCTGAAAGAAACGAGTTGTCAGTTGGGATATGACGATTTGCACGAATTTTTTATAGAATTTTCAAATAAAAATTCGACATAATTGTAAATGTCAAAGATCTCAAAGACCGGAACACGCGGCAAATTGAACCGATCGATTTTTAATACAGCGTTTGCGAGAAACAATTAATTTTTATAAACGCGCCGCTGACATCTCGAGAGAGCGCTTCGTTGGATAAAAACTCGATTAGAAGTTCGAAGTTTGTCGAGACAACAAGTTTAGCGATCGAAAGCAATTCCCCTTAAATCCTTCACAAAGCAAATCGCGCGTCTAATGGATTCTACGTTAATCGCCTTTACCATGTCGTTAACCCGACGCGATACGCGCCGCGCTTGCCCAAGGCGACGCAACGATCACGCCTAGTAAAAGGAGCAATCGACTTTAGGCTCATTAATGACGCACAACCCCGAGTCAATTACCTCCTTTGTTATCTTATCTGTCGGATCCTTACGGCTAGAAACTGGAAACTAACCGGATTATTACTTATTCGCGAGATGGTCTACCCGCCGACGCGGGGTGTAATCGTTATTCATAATTGAATGATAGTCATTGACGATTTTATTTTTCCAAGAGTGCTTTCTGATTTAATCTCATCATTTGAAACTTCCTATATAATATAATTTGCAGAATATAAGTTTTGTAAACTAAACATATGTATAAATAGTTATGATTTACAGAAAGCTCAAGATTTTATAAAATTACAATATTTCGATAAGAAATTGTGAATTACAGAAATTATAAGGACATACTATAATAATTTTTTCCAAAAAGATATTTAGAATACGAATCTAAACCATTAGAAAATATAAAATTTCTCATATTTTAATTTACTCCAAAATTTAAAAACATTATATATAATCTAATCACACTTAGATAATTCATATATCAATCTTCATAAGATATTAATAAAAATTGTAAAACAAAAAATAATTTAAGAAAAAAATTCTTAATATTACAATTAATATATATAATAAATTATAATACGATGTTAATATTATTTGGTGATCTGTGTGTATATATTTCAACATAATCAATTTATTGCACAATCTATAAGATATATATTTTCAGATGAAAAATTTTTATATAGATAATAATTTTTAAAATATATAGATAATTTTTTAAAGTATATAGATATAAGAAATTGTAAAAGTATAAATGATAATAATTTATATTTTCGAAAAATTGACGCA